GATAAGCGGAAGGTGGGTATAGCTGAATTCGGTAAGTAACATGCTTGAAATTCATGTTAGGAGTTCTGAGCATACATAACTTTTTCAGTTTCGTTAACCATCCTGAAAGTATTTTATGAGGGTCTAATTATTAATATCAACTAATCCCTGGGGAGCTGAGGAAAAAACGATTAAGTGCGCAGACATAAAACATGCAAATAAGAAGTGCAATCAACCAATAAAACCTTCGAAGCCAGAACCTGCAGAATCACTGAGCCTTTACCTGATTTCCTCTTTCCCATCTGTTTCCATGGCTTCCCAGTCTCTTAGCAGGCTCCCACCTCTCAGGCCAAGGGCCCGGCGATCTTTTCAAACCGCGAACAGGCTTCTAAATTGCCACTAGCATTTCACCACCCTCAAGTTTCTGGGAAACATGAGTTCCCTTCAGGTCCTTAAAGAGTGATAAATCCGCTCTTGTTTCTGGGATATCCAGGCCCAAACGAGGGTTTCTACAGGGGTTTATTTGGCATATTTTTCTTGGTAATAAGTGTCTGATGAGGAACTGCTTATTAAGAACCGAAAAGTCTTGAGAGTTGAGGGGGTCTGTACGCAAAGAGCCCTAGAGGATTAAAATTCAAGAGCATGAGAATCAGGAAGTACCGAGACGGCCTGCCTGATTGGAGCGAAGCTTTCGCAGATCTCAGCGACGGTGACGCCAAATATTTGAAAACTGACCCACTTTCTTCCCGTTTTCAGTTTTGAGTAGGATGTGCCGGTCGGATCTTTGTTGGCGGTTTATGTTCTCCGGCTAAACTCTATAGTAGCATCATACTTTTGAGGGTGTTTGAAGGGTCTTTTTAAAGAGGCTAGGAACGGCTTATACTGCACCACCACCAAATTCCAGTCTTTGCTTAAATACCTCCGGAAACGGAGAACTCACTACTAGACCGCCAAACCGGCAGCCAGACTACGGCTTTCCCAGATTTGTGGCCCCGAGGCCAACGGGAGGAGGAGCGAGCCAAATATTGCACGGTGCGCTTGGTTGGCCCCAAACTCTTTTTAAGGGCTGGGAGAAAGAAGAGCCGACCGAGGCGGAGGTGGCTTTTGGCGATCATCCTGACTCTCCAAGGTTACCAGGTTACCAAGAGACAACGCCTGCGCAGTTATCTCCAAAGCCTCATACCAAGCAGTGACGGCTGCCAGAGGGAGGGGCCGCTGAGTCGAAAAAACAAATAAGCCTCGCGAGGTTTCGAGGACCCGGATGATCCGGCCCCTCAGAGCAAAGCCGGAAGAGGGCGGGACGAACCGGAAGAAGGTGAAATGCTCTCGGTAGGTACTCCATGGTTGTGAAGATGGCGGTGGCTGCGTGGCTTCAGGTGCTGCCTGTTATTCTTCTTCTGGGGGCTCGGCCGTCCCCATTGTGGCTTTTCGGTGTTGGACCGGCTCCCGTCGCTGCTGCCGATAGATCCAAGTGGCACATTCCAATATCGTCGGTGAGTGTTCCCAAGCAACTGAGCCCGGAGGAGTAAGGGGTGGGGCTACGGCGGCCCAAGGGGTCCATGAAGGTTCCGCAAAAGTCCGCTTCCAAGGGGTGGAATCGTCGTGACCGTCTGTGTCGCTGCTTAACAGGGACCCACCTCCATGGAGAGAGTCGTGAATTTCTGTGGGTAGATTAACAGGAATGTCAGGGCAACTTCAGGAGCAGAGAGGAATGGTGGGGCGGCTTCTTAGCAAAGTCAGAGAACTTTCACTGCTTGACTTGAGACTTGTAAACTTGATGTATAGGTGGAGAGTGGTTTCTTTTTCAGCTGAAGTTTCACAGAATCCAGTGACCCCGAGTTGGATAAGAGGGATATGTAAATAGGCGTCTTTCTTTCTCCTTGCATTTTTTTTTTTTTTTGTGGTTACTGGGTAATTCTCCTTAGAAAGAATGATTTCGTTTGAACTTTGAAGTGGTTATTCTGAAGCTTTGTTGTGTGATTAGGAAGCCTAGGCATTTAAAACTGTATTTTAATACGAGAATGCCTAAAATGGAATAAATAGTATTCTAAAATCTGACATAGTAAGGCTAGTCTATCTTTTGAACAACTAAGTAGATAGGTTTATTCTTTCTGCCTCCTCCCTCCCTCCCCTTTTAAACCTCATTTGAATAAGAGCTATAGTCCTGTGAGCAGACAAAGTCAGATGCAGGCAGGAAATGTCCAAAAGCATTAGTCCTATTAAAACAACGGTGGCCTTTTTGTTTTATTCTGCTCTGCTCACTGGTTGTACTTTCCAAATATTATTTGAGTTTTATATGGCAAGCATTATAGCTTTTGTTCATTTGGTGAAGATCTTCAGGTTCTCAACTTTAGGTACTTGTTACTAAAATGAGTTAAATATGGCTATCTGCTCATAGAATAGTTTATTTGAAGAAATGATTGGTTATTCTGGACAATGATTAGAATAAAGGAAGAACTAATTAAGGAGTACCTCCCATGAAGATTTAAGTTGAGACTTCTAGCAGTCTTCTTTCTAGAGTCCTTACCTCAAGGCCTATGGGGGAAAAAAAATCATGTCTGTACCAAGTTTCAAAATTCTGCAGTTTGGATGTGGTTAATTTTTACTAAAAGGAAGGATATTGATGCCTTTTTTTTGTTTAGAAAACTAATGAGCTTTTTATAATTTAGGTTTTTATACCATTTATATTCTGCCTTGGGAATTAAAGTGATCTGATGCTAATTATCTTTCCTTTGTCTTTGCAGGGGAAAAATTATTTTAGTTTTGGAAAGATCCTCTTCAAAAATACTACTATCTTCCTGAAATGTGAGTTTTTGCATTTCATGAAGTTTTTGTTTGAGTTTTTGAGTGATCTTTAAACCTTTACTTATTTTCTACCCCTGATGACTTCCTCACAAAATAAGTCAAATAAGTCCTGAAATTGAATAGCCCAGCGTTATAAACATATGCAGTATACCTAAGGTCCTTTCACCCAAAAATCTTCAGAGTACTTACTTGTGTGAACTTTATTTTCTTCTCTTGTTTTTCTGGTGTTACTGTATACAGTTGACCCTTGAACAGTAAGGGAATTAGGAGCACTGACTCCCTGCACAATCAAATCCATGTATAACTTTTGACTCCTCCAAAACTTAAGTTATGGCTCAGTATCTGGGAGTTTGGTTCCAGAACTCCCCATAGATACCAAAGTCCTTGGATGCTCAGGTCCCCTCTATTAAATGGTGTAGATCAGTGCATACAGTTGGCCCTCTGCATTTGTGAACTCCTAACTGCTGATAGAAAACAGTACAGGTATTGAAAAAAAATCCATGTATAGGCTGATCCATGCCATTCAACCATGTTATTCAAGCGTCAGCTGTATAGCTAGACAAGTTATGTCTGCGTGGTGTTTTAATCTGTTCTGAGTTACAGAGGTACTACTGACTTTGCTTTCGTGTGCCTGATAGATGTTTACTGAACACATGACGTAGGTTCGTAGGTTCGTCAGATCATTGGCTCTGAGTGAATAAGTTCAGTAAATCTTGTTTACAAAAGGAGTATTTTACCACTTGGATCCTTGCAAGAGGAAACTCAAAGATATAAGGAAATTGAGATTATGTGGAACAAAACTAGTTTGTCCAGTGGAAAAACCACTGTATCTGAATCCAGAATATCCCATGGTGTGTTAAAGAAAAGCTTTCTTTTATTTCTGCAACTGGCTTTACTTTAGAGAACAAATTATCATGGACAGCTCCATTTCAAGATCAGGAATAAAAAGCCTCATCAATCATGTGTGCTTCTGCGCATCTCTCTCTGAAAGTGCAAAGGTGGGAGTCATGTTGGATGATTTTCTTTTAATCATTTAATAAGTAGTTATTAAAAATTTGCTGTGTGCTAGGCACTGTTTTAGACAGCAGAGAATTTAAAAGGCCCCCTTCTCTTACTAGGTTTATAGTATACATGGGGAAAAGGAGGCAGGTAAAAGAATTTCTATGAAGAATATACTGTGTCCATGAAAATATAATCCCCTGACTATGACTTCATTTTACTCTGACACACTGGTCTTTCTTGTGAGGCTAGTTTATTAGATAAGAGTAACTTTTAGGGATAGCAGTGTTTGTCTTTCAGAATAGTCTGACAGCCTGTATGTTATTCTTTCCTTTTATTCAGTACAGTCTTTTCTAACTTGTGTTTTGATCTAATGGTGTTTCGCCAAGTTACACAAGCTGCATATTTTGAAGTGTCTACATTTCATTGTTTTTGGAGGATTTGTGACTCCTTAAAATTTATATTATCTTTCACTTCTGTGCCTTCTAATATTTACCTTATCTTTGATTTTCTACTTCTGTGGGTATGTTATATAGTTTTCTATGAAATTGGCAGTACTATTTTCACTATCTCTTAAAGCCATCCATTCAGAGTTTTAAAGGGTGTCTTTCAGTATAAATAGTATTTTTACAGCCAAGTTTCCCTGCAAATCTCCTGTTTGGGAGAACTTCTTACTAGCTTTTATTTAATCCCATCTCTGTATGGTTCTTCTGAGCAATTCATAGCAATGTTGCAAAATCCTTTATATCATTTTCATAAATTCTTATTTAATCAGATTTTTGTGAATTTAATTGAGCTTCGTAAAAGTGTGTCCCAGATGCAGTTATGTTTATCTTTGTCATGTTTGCATAAAGTATCTCTAGTATTAATTTTCCTTTCAACAGCTAGAATCAAAGATAAACTGAAATACTGACCTCCCCCAGGTGAGACAGTTCATCAGTCATACAGTCAGATTTATGCTTCTGAGTCTTCAGACTAATGCCTTGGTCCACTAGAATACTGTGTTCCAAACTATTTTTAATAAGTTGTAGGAGACTTTTTTGATTTCATGAGATTCCTTGAGGCCTCTCTTAAGGTAGGTTTTGAAAAGAACCTAATACTCTTATTTTTGCTTTCGCTGTTTCTATCTTCCCCAGCCACGTTTGCTTTTTGTTCAGTTATTTCTATCCAATCTTAATATCTTTCAAGGTTTAAGACATGAATTTTTTCCTCAGTGGAACTATTTTGAATATTGCTTTGTGACATGCCTAATGTTTTTCCTTATCTCTCCAAAGAGAATGTAGTCTTTTTAAGGGTCTTAGTAATTTGTTCCCTCCTATTCTTATCTTTGGCCTAACACAGTGCCGTGTAGCATTGTATACTTAAGTGCTCTGCTGAATAAATATTTGAAGATAATAGAAGACTGGTCTTGTACTTAAGGCTGCTTTATCATTTCCAGGTTTTTTTCCCAACAGAGAACCGCAAATGGAGGTTTTAAAGCATAAACAGTTCCAAAGGTTAAAAACCACTTAACTTCTGTTTCTTTCTGTGGATAACAGTACTTAATTTTATCTAGATTTGTTCTTTTTACATATATTATTTCATTACCTTCTGTTAGGAGAAGATATAGTCTTTGAGTATCTCATTTTAGCAGAAAATAAATGGGATGTGGGTTCACAGTTTAGGAAAAATGCTTTGTTTGAGAAGCATCTTTTATTCACAAAGATTCTTGTTTTATAGTTGATGGAGAACCTTGTGACATATCTTTGAATATAACCTGGTATCTGAAAAGTGCTGATTGTTACAATGAAATATACAACTTCAAGGTAAGGAACATAAAATTACAGACTTTCCTTGGACGTTAGAGATCATCAAGTCCCAACCTGATAAAGGAAGGCGTGTTATGTATCTGTGGAGAAGAGCTGAAAATAGAATCCATGCTTCCTAATTTGTAATCCTCCTGTACCAGCAATTCTCAAACTTTCTGGTCTCAGAACTCTGTTACATTCTTAAATGTTATACAGACTCCAAAAAACTTTTGTTCATGTGGATTATATCTTAGAAATTAAAACTGAGAAAATACAGAAATATTTATTAATTGTAAAATAACAATAATAAACTCATTGCATATTAATATAAAAAATTTTTAATGAAAAATAACTTTTTTAGAAAAGAACAGATGAGTGGTATTTTGTATTTTTGCACATCTATTTAATGTCAGGTATAGTACAAGACAGCTGTAATCTTATATTACAGCTGTCTTGTACTATACGCAGTTAGTTGCAATATGGAATCCGAAACTACATCAGTGAACTTTTTTTACTGTTGTATTAAAAAGAAATTGGTGTGTCTTGACACTTTGAATGGTCTTTAACCCATGTATGATTTTGTAACATCATTCATTAGTCATTTAGAAAATACTGGTTGGTTGAATTATATAAATTTTCCACATATTAACTTATTTTACAATTAACTCAACAATAAGTTTGTTAATATCATTCTTCAGTCTCATCAGACTTTGTGTTAGAAGCTGTTAAACTCATAGTGAGGCAGATACAAATTTTCCAAAATTCCAGTTTTTGTTTGAAAGCTCAAATTTTATTATTGACAATGAATACTGTCAGTTGTCTTCCTTGAAGTGACAGACCCCATTGCTCATTTTCAAGAAAATATCTCCCAAATAAGCAAGTCTGAATAACTAGTTTGTCAGTCATTCTTTCAAGTAAATGAAAAAAGTGTACAATTTGGCTTGTAAGTCAACATAGTTGCAAAGTGCTTTATCTTGAGACAATCATTTATAGTATTTTGCATATTTCCCATATTTCATAGAATATTAAAAAGGCACATACTCAAAGGTCAAGATTTAATAACTTTAATAATTTTTACTACTTCATTAAGGATATTCTTACTTAAAACTGACAGTTTTTTTTTAAACTGCCAGTTTGTCACTGTGAAGAGTACGGTGACTACTAGTTCAGTTAGGTGTTCCTGATAAGGGGCAATAGTTTTACCTATCATTATTTTTGCATTATCAGTACAAGGAAAATAACACATGATGATGATGATGATGATGATAGTTTCGACTTCTTAGATCTCATGAAAGGGTCCACAGACCACACTTTCAAAACTGTAGTGTACTGTACTGGAGCACTGAAGATTATGGCTCCAAGATGGATTTTCAGGCCTTTTCTATTCTTTTTCCATCCTCATTTACCTCATTTTTTAAAATTTTCATTACATATTCCCTACTATTCTTGAGGTTTCTTTTCAAAGATAAAAGTGTACCATTCAGTTGATTTTTTAAACCTTAGAGCGTTTTGAATTTCAGCCTAGTATTAGGATTTAAATTATCTTTTTTATGGTGTTGGTAATCTTTTTTTGCATTTGCTATACAACATTGGGTAGGATTGATAAGAGGAGAACTAAAGGACTGAAAAATTAAGAAAGAAATGATAATAACACCAGAATATGGTTTGAAATGTTGTTCGGTGATCTTTTTCTCTTAATTGATCACCAGTTGGGTTTACAATTAAAAACATCTTATATTTGAGACTTGTGATAAAACTGGTCAAGGGTTTAGATTCAGCTTTCGTAGGTAGTACAAGTTAAGAACGTAAAAATTATTTTGGGTTGCCACAGGACAAAATTATGGAAATGACAAGCAGATAGAGATGTGAAATTGGAGCTTAGAAAAAAGACGGCAAGGTTAGGTTTGTAGGTATCAGAGAAAAATACACAGAACTGATTGATGAAGCCACAAAAAATGATATTTTTCAGAGTATTAATAGTGGGCTGTGAATGGCTACAACAATTTTGTGCTCTATCTTAGCTTATGAACACAAGTATATCTTTTCATTGGTGGTGTTAGTTGAGTCAAGTAACTCTTGTAAATATGTTTTCTTGTGACAAAACCCTCTAGAGTCAGACAGTTTCCCAATCTTGTGAGAATTTTTAGAGGAACTATTCTTTTCGAGCCATAGACTAGAATTCTATACTTTAGGGTTTAATGCTGGGGTACTATCATATAGAGTCTTTATCTAGTCCTAGGTTTTAAATTAGTAAACCCCAAACTATATTTGTATTATAGGCTGTCTATTTGTTCTAAATATCTTACTTGTGAAACTTAAATACTTTGTATTTTCTCTACTTTTCCAGGCAGAAGAAGTGGAGACATATTTGGAAAATCTTAAGGAAAAAAAAGCCTTGTCTGGGAAATACCAAACATCATCAAAATTGTTTCAGAACTGCAGTGAACTCTTTAAGACACAGGTAAGGTTTGATAGTAGTTGGAGGGAAATAGAAGAGGTAAAAAATGTAATGCTTGTATTTTTGGTGATATCAACTTCCTATTCCCCAATTCTTTCTTCTGACAGAAATAAGTTAGAAGCATGTTCTGATAGGTGCATAGCCAACCACTTAATATTCATCTCATCAAAGATAGGATGTGCTTTTTTGGGGTATAAAAAGTAAATCCCCCCAATTTTTAAATTGTAAATATACATAATATTTACCATTTTAACTGTATTTAAGTGTGTCATTCAGTGACATTAAGTACATTCCCATTGTTGTACAACTGTCACCGCTAGCCATCTCTAGAACTGTTTGATCATCTCATAGTGACACTTCATAATCATTAAAGAGTAACACCCCCTCCTACACACACATGTCCCTGGTAAAAACTGTTCTTTCTTGTCTCCGTGAATTTGAGTATTCTAGATAGCTCATACAAGTAGAATCATACAATATTTGTTTGGCTTCTTTCACTTAGCAAAATGTTTTCAAGTTTCATCCATATAGCATGTGTCAGAATTTCATTCATTTTTAAGGCTGAATAATACTCCATCGTTTTGCTTGTCTATTCATCCATTGATGAACATTCGAAACCCCCCATTTTAATTCTCTTGCCATATAATTGTTATGTCCCCAGAAAACTCAACGTTTTTAGATTTTACTGCTATAGATCTGAAATCAAAGGGTTGAATTTCACACTTATTATAAAATTCTCTTTTCTTAGAAATAGGATCTGACTCCAATTTTTAAAAGAAAAATTTCATGTTTTATAGCTGTCGAACATAGTTATTTTAATTATAGCCTTTGTTTTATCCTTCCTGCATTTAAATATACTAGCAAAAAAGCCTCGATGAGTTCACAGAAAGCTAGATTTTCTGTCTAATTACTAGAAGTAAAGTTTATTGATAAGAAGGCTTAATAATTAGTAATTGATAAGCAAATGAAGTAATTAACATTGACCTGTAAGGATTGAGTTCTTGTCATAGCTTAGATTTTATGGTCTTGGAAGGAAAAGAAAATATCTTTTAAGTGGTGGAGAATGGTAGAAAAAGAAGGGTAGGAACAATGGGATGTTGAGTAGGGGATTTTCTGTTAGTTTTCCAAATTTATTCCCCAGGCTAAGAGAATTGATTGGCCTTTCTTGGATTTGATTTGGAAAGCTACCTGTTTTATACTATTGTGCAAGGTTCACTACTTTTAGATCTGCTATACTTTTTCCAGGATCTTGACATATACCCCTACGGGTTAGGTTTTCTCTCCTCCAATCTAGTGTCACAGTGTTGAAATACTTACTCTAATTAGGAGAATGCCTCATCTGCTGATAACTGATAAAAAAAGGTAAATATTATTATAATTAGTGAAAGTTGTTTTTTTAATAGGCATGGAGTATGTTGTGGTGGAAGGAATGGACCCAAGAGTTAGAAATCTTAGATTCACATCCCTTTCTACATAAGGCTTTAAAGATTTGAGCTACAGTTTCCTCATTTGTAGAGAGGGAACTATAAGATCCCTCCATCTTAAGTATATATCTTTTATCTGGGCTTTGTCATTCTTAAATATCTATAATTTGTATGAAGAATCGAGTGGTCAGTTTGCTTTGGTTGTATTTTTAGTTCCCAGCAGGGTTTTATTCACTTGTTTGTGGTTAAATGGAAATCTTTCGTCTGTCAATGTTATAATGTGTTTTGCTTTAACCATTTCTGTGGATTTTGAGCTACACTTTATTTTTACATATCTTTAATTTTAGTTTTATATTTCTTTCATAGAGCTTTTCTGGGGATTTTGTACATCGATTGCCTCTTTTAGGAGAAAAACAGGAGGTAATTCTTTTCCTTGTTAAATATTTCTGAGACTAAAGTAAAAATTTGAATTAATTTTCTTTTCTTTTTTTTAATGTTTAAAGGCTAAGGAGAATGGAACAAATCTTACCTTTACTGGAGAAAAAATTGTAAGTGTAGTTGGGAATTTGGGGCATTGAACACATATTTTAGTTTTCTTATGTTCATGTATTTTGAATTATCCTGGTGTGCCATCATTTAAAAAGAAACTTAAGAATGGAAGCTATACACCAAATGTTAATAATGGCTGTCCCTGAATGATATATATTATTGAGTTACTTTTATTTTCTTCTTTGTGTTTTCTGTATTTTCCATATTTGCTACAATCATTCTATATTTTTGTAATTATCACACCATAAATATGTTCACTGGAAAATGAAAAGCCAAGGTAAGAGGTAGAAGCATTTATTTGAAATCTAGAACATTGCAATTCTCAGAAGCACTGATTCACGCAAAAATCCAAATAGTGTTCTGATTAGGAGGTGATGGCAAGGGATATTTATGAGAAAGGGAAGGGGGGAAATTAATGTGAATAGAAGGAAGGAATTTCTACTGATGTTAATAAATCAAGAAAGGAATTTCTATAGGTGCAAATAAGCTAAGTTATTCTCTAGCTATTACATGATGGTGCTAATTCTAAAGAATGTTGTTAATTTTCAGTCTGGTAGTTTAGCTGTCTGCTTTTCTGTTAGCTTTGCAAACAGTTGTTTAGAACACAGTGTTGTTTTGGCCCATTCCTGAGATTTGAGGAGTAAGATGTGCAAGGCAATTCCTCTGGGGTGATGGCTCCAAATCCATTTTGAAGTGGCTCCAGTTTTGTTATTTTTCACTAAAATTACTTGTAAATAGGAAGAAACTTTTAAGAAAGAGCCTTAAATTCCATCTAAAATTATTTCGTGATAGAATATAACTAAGAGATTTTGGAAAATTGAAATCAAGTTGAAGACTATAAATATGCCTTAAATTTTCATAGTTCACTCTGTAATTCACAATAATTAAAACTTTGCCCATTAAAAATATAGAGAAAATAAGCCATGTTGGATCATGGTTTTTACAAAACTGATTGAAGTTTTTAATTTTATAACAACTTTATTAAGACAATATACATATCTCAAAATTTACCCTTTTAAAACAATCAGTGGTTTTTAGTATATTTACCAGTTGCTGCAACCACCAACTGTTATCTAATTCCAGAACATCTTCATCACCCCAAAAAGTAATGGCATAGCCATTAGCAGTCATTTCTCATTCTATCCTTTCCCTAGCCCTGAGCAGCCACTATTCTTTCTTTCCCAATATGGATTTGCCTGTTCTGTTCATTTCATGTAAATGGAATCATATAATTTGTGGCCTAATTTTTGGCTTCTTCCACATTTTAAAACTCTATCTTTACTTCCTTCTTGTGCAGAGCCTTAAAATCAGCCAGAGGTGAGTGATTAGGGCCTTCTCAGGTCACTGGGGGCACGTGCACAGTCTCACACATACATGTACGGCCCTGGATGTACTTGTGGCCTTCTAGATTTCCTGGAATATTTTAGAGCTTGTCAAAACCCCTATGGACACCTCATTTCCAATTTTTCCTTTTAAGTTTTTGGCCAGCCTCTTGATAGCCCCACCTAGTAACATCATTTCAGGCAGCTATGATCTTTTACAATTGCTGAGTGTTTTTGAGAGTTCCATGAGTACAGTGTCTTTCCCATTGAATGAGTTCTGAGTCAGGTCATATAAAAGATAAGCCCTTGGGAATGGAGCTTTTCAGCACCTGCCAGATAGCCGTGGCGATTGGGCTTTAAGGGACCTCCTAGCTTGTTTTTTCCAGTGACTGCCAAACTGCTGTTTCTCACCCTGTTATATTTGGGAGTACTTTGTTTTCAAGGAGCTTGGAAGGGAGGCATGGGATTAGGGTGAATAAAAACACCACGAGCTTGCTCTCCTTGCTGAGATTCAGCACATTTTCTTGAGGAAACACTTGTAGGATTGTTGTAAGTGTTTAGTTAATTTCCGGAGTTCCAAAAAAGTTAATTTTGATAGTTTTTACCCATATTCTTGTTGCTTTTATGGTTAAATGTATTTTCAGAGGTCCTTATTTTGCCTTTACTCTCCCTATCCCAACTATAGTTGTACAGAATTTTAACCTAAAAATGAGTTAGGTTTGGCAGACTTCATTTATTTTATTTTATTTTTAAAAAACAGAGCATTCATAGTTTTTTCTTATTGCTAATTTGTATAGATTTACTATAACAAATGAGAAAATATACATAAATGAAAAGAAAATCATCTATATTACTACCACACACTTAGACTACAAACATATTTCTCTTCTAGTCTTGTCTTTGTGACTATATTTAAAAATGGGAAGCTTACAATATGTATTATATTGCAACGTTTTTTGTTTAGCAATATAACATGGACATCTTTCCAGTTTAGTAAATATCATTACTAAATGCCTGCATAGTATTTTTTGTATGAATATACTGCAATTTGTTAACAAATTCTCTATTATTGGACATTCATGTTTCATTATCTTGCAATTTTAAGCAGTGCTTTAGTAAACATTTTTGTAGATATATTTGTTTTTAGCTCTTTAGTTTCTGGTTTCAAAACAATTTCATGTTGTGAACATTTTGCTTGTATAAATTAAAAGTAAAAATCTTTTGTAATTTCATTTTGTAGCAGTTTTGTGTCATTATACAGAACATGTGCATATTAACCCAAATGAGATATTTTATGTACTGCCATGTAGTTTTTTTCTTTCCACTTAAATTAGTACATTGAGCACTACTTCACCTTTTTTATGGCTAGGTACTATTTCATTTTACCATGATTTTTATAATTAACTCCCAGTCGATGTGCATTGGATTGTTTCCAGATTTTTGCTATTATAGTTAGGTCACATTCATAATGTCTAGTTATATCTTTGTGCACATTTATAATATTTTCTTTAGCCTAAATTTCTAGAAGTGAAAATGCACAATTTTTAAGTTCTATTTTTATGTTTTGCCAAAGTGCTTTGGAGAAAAGTTGTAGCAATTTATGGTCCCAAGAAAGTAAGATTGGATTTCCCTCTTTTCTCACAGACAGTGCCTATTCTAATTTAAAACATTTTATACACTCTGTCAGATTAAATTGTTGTAAATTGTATTTTTAAAAAATTGTTGTCTATGGCCATGCCACCCTGAATAAGCCCGATCCTGTCTGATCTCGGAAGCTAAGCAGGGTCGGGCCTGGTTAGTACTTGGATGGGAGACCACATAGGAAGACCAGGTGCTGTAGGTGTAAAAATAAAAAAGGGACGTACACCGACAAGGTCCTTGCAATCTATGAGGTCAGCCAAGGGTCACCTTGCCTAAAAAAAAAAAAATTTGTTGAAGCTGAACATTTATATGCATATTGGCTGTTTGTAATTATGCTTTATTTAGTGGTCTTCTGGCATAGCCTACTTTTCACTTCTATTCAAGGCTTGAGCCCTGCTCCTAGTGATTAAAGATGACTGAAAGATGACCTTGTGGAATATCAATAGTAATACTTAGAAATGTTTAGTCAGATTATAGTCAAAGAAGTCAAAGAATTTTCGGTACCTTTGACGATTCTTTCTAAAAATTGGTTTTAAGGGAATACTTTATAATCCTATTTAAAAGATACTCACAAATTCAGTATCTCTACGCCTTTTTATAAGACCTCGGATGAAATATGTTTTTTTAGAGGAAAGGTCCTCTCCCTGTCCCTTTCCCTAAGAAAAGATTTCTGGTTTGATTTAAACAATTATGAAATATATTTACCATTGTAGAGTTTTAAAATTAATAGTTTTCTTTTTTAGAGCAGTTTGAGTTTCACAACAAAACTAAGCAAAAAGCAGAGTTCCCACATACCCCTACACAAATGCACACTCAGACTCCCCCACCGTCGATAGTGCGTTATATTTGTAAATTGATGAACCAACATTGACACACCATTATCAACCAAAGTCCATGGTTTACATAAGGGTTAGTTCTTTGTGTTGTACATTGTTTGGGTTTTAATAAATGCACAATGACAGATATACACAATTACAATATACAGAATAGTTTCATTGCCCTAAATATCTCCTGTGCTCCACCTATTCATCCCTCCCTCCCCCCAAGCCTCTGGCAATCATTGATTTTTTTTTTTTTAACGCTCTCCATAGTTTTGCATTTTCAAGAATATCATATTATGGAATCATCATATACTTTTCAGATTGACTTCTTTCCCTTAGTGATATGTATTTAAGGTTTTTCCATGCCTTCTTGTGGCATGATAGCTCATTTCTTTTTTGTGTCAAGTAAATTTTCCATTGTCTGGAAGTACTGCGGTTTATCTCTTCACCTATTGAAGGACACTTACTAAAGGAGCTAATAATAATACCTATCTGATAGGGTTACTGTGAGGATTAAATAATAAATGTTACATGCTTAACAGCGGCATGTGTATGATATTTTTACAGGGTCAAAATAGCTATAATTCCAGAGCCAAATGTAAACTGTCAAATCTTGGACAATGAGAATTAATCAATCCCTTTTGAAATTAGAGAGTTTTGAGATACATAAAATTAATAGCAGCACAGCTTATTACACCAAAGCTTTATTGGTTAATGAATAAGTAAGTTCAAGAAATGTTCAGTTAGTATGGGTAAGTAGAATATGATATACCTAGAACTTTGAAGCTATAAAGTTTTCTCACAAATGGCTCCTAAATTTTGTCAGAAGCCAACAGATAGAGATAAATGTATGATTCTGCATGACATTTATATTCTTAAGTAGCTAAGATAACCTAATAAATATATAGCTGAAGAATCGCTTAATCTGCTTTGTTTGACGCTTTGGGTTTGTATCATGAAATATAATTTTTGAACTCTTATTTAGCCTTTTCTTGGGTTATAGGATAATTTAAACATTTGAGAAAAGCTAGGCTTCCACAGGAAAATGCACAAATGTGCAAAATCTATTATTTACTCTGAGTGGTTTCCTAGATCAGTGGAGCTTACCTAGAGGTCTCTGGATAAAATTCCTTTTAAGACAAAAAGGTAATAAATTTTAAGACTAAACAGCAGTGCCTCCTTTCACACACAGGGAAGAAGCCAGTCATTTTCTGTGTTCATCTTCTTTGTCTTTGTCATGTGTTTGTGAAGGTCCATAGTCCATCTAGCATGTATGACAACGAATCTTTTGAAGGCTTTTAGCTAGGGCTCTGTACAAGCTAACTGGCCTTGGAACAGATTCTTCCTAAGTAACCAGTTCTTTAAACGTGGGGGCTGTTACTCTACTTCCTTGACTTTGTGTGACAGTGACTCTTGCTTTCCACATAGGGTAGCCAAGATTAAATTTGATATAAATGTGAGACCTTGTCAGCAGAAATTCTGGTAGTCTTGGAAAGGGCATTAAGCAAAGAGAATTAGATTCGGGAAGTGGTGTTTATAATTTGCCAATGTCGTCATGGATGTTATTTTTTTTTTTTTTGGTGATTTAAATAATTGTTGGGATGGCTATGGAAAATATAACCTAGTATCATAGCATGGCTTAGTTAAACAGATTCAGTTTAGTGATTTTAGTTGAGGTTTTCCTTGTAGAAAAGTAGGTAAGTTAAATGTGTGATTTTTGTGTATAACAAGATACAAAATGTCCTGCTTTATAGTAATTCATAGTCTAACCTATTTTTTCGAATATACAATAGGCTTGTTTGTTTTGTTGTGCCTACTGTTTTAACAAATGAAAGTGAAGGACTCAACCATGTTTCTGGGTACATTCTGAAACAAAATTTTTATATCGTATTATTAACTTGTATTTTTAATTCTTAAGACCTGAAGATTTAATGCTTTTTTTTCTCCTTAGGCAATGCATGATCCATTGAAAACTTGGCAAGATGCACCATACATTTTTATTGTACATATTGGCATTTCATCCTTAAAGGAATCATCAAAAGAAAATTCACTAAGTAATCTTTTTACCAGTAAGTACATTTTTGTTTCTTTTTACCATTTATTTTATTTTCTAGTTGTATCATGCATGGTGGGTCATGTGTAATTACTTTAAGGGAGGGAATAATTAATTAAGAATGTTAAGTAGAAAAATTTAGGGAGAGAAATTAACATTTTGCTGTATCCAATATGTAGCAGTTTTAGATACTTCATATGTGCTTGCTTAATATATGTGGTAGATTCTAGATGTCATTTTCCTTCATTTGATCCTCCTGCTTTTTAAATTTTTAATTAGTATCATGTTCTCAGTATTCTAAACTAGACTTCTCAAAGTTTAGTTACCAAGTCAAATCTGGAAATTTTTTAGTTTATCAGCTTTGGTAATTTTTTAGTGTCTCGATATATTTTTAAAATAATTTTTCATCTACAGTTCACATACAAAATTATATTATTACTGTGTTGTACACCCGAAACTAATGTAATTTTGTATGTCAACTGTCTCAATTTTTCTTGGTGTTCTCCTTTCCACTCTTGCTGCCCAGCTTATGGAGTGATCATCTCTAACCAGAAATTTTGTAGTAGCTTCCTAACTAGTCTCATTTCTTATAATTTTTGTTTTGTTTTGTTTCTTCCTTCTTCTTTTCAGTTTCATTTCATCCTCTCCTTTCTCAAATAGAATATTAAATAGAAACAATAATGGTGGCCATCTTTATCTAGCTCTTGACTTTACTGGCAGTATTGGCACATATCACCATTAAGCATGATGTTTACTGTGGATTTTTCAAAATAGTCTGTATTTGGTTAAGGATGTTCCTTTCTATTCCTATTTTACTAAGTGTATTTTTCTTTTTAGTATTAAGAATGAATACTCAGTTTTATCGGATGCTTTGATTATGTTGATTTAAATGATCATATAGATTTCCTCATTTAATCTGTTAATATAATGCATTATATTAACTGGTTTTCTAATGTTAAACCATTCTTGAATTTCTGAGATGCTGTTATTTGGTCCTGATACACACACACACACACATGCACGCACACACAGCTGGGTTCTATTTTCCATAATTTTATTTAGAATTTTTTCGTCAATGTTCAATGTAAAATTAGCCTGTAATTTCCTTTGCTGTATATCTTTTATGAGTTTTGTCATCCAGGTTATTCTAGTTTCATACAATGAATTGGAAAATGTTCCCTGTTTTTATATTTTGTGGAACAGTTTTTACAAGGATCGGGTTATCCGTTCTTTGAATATTTGATAGGACTCACTTATGGTAGTGTTTCTGCCTGTTCTTTTTCTCTCCTCCATGTATATTTTAAACAGTTGATTCATTTTATTTAATAGTAAGTTAGTTTTAGTTTTTCTATTTTTCTTTGAATCACTTTTTTTTTTTGAGAAATGTTTATTTTAAGATTTCAGATCTATTGGCATGAAATCATTAATGGCATTTTACAAAAATCTGTATCTGTAGCCTTTTTCATTCTTAGTATTGCTTTTGTGCCTTGTTTTTTTAAAACTTTTTAAATCTTTCTAGAATTTTATTTTACTGTATTTGTATCCCAGTGAACCAGCTTTCGGTTTTGGTAATTTTCCTAACTTTTTCTTTATTGTCTATTTCATTTATTTTTATCTTTTTCATTTCTTTTATTTGACTTGATTTTAAACTTTTGTTTTTTGTGAATTCTTGTGTTGAATGTTTAATTCCTAATCCAGAATGGGTCATCTGCTCCATAGTACTATGGGATATAGCAGATCTAGGCCAATCGGCAGGTAACCCAAGACTTAACGCGTATCCTCCTTTATCTCTAGGCCCATAGCTTTTTAATGAGTAATAGTCTCAAGGAGCAGTTGCCAACTTTAATTTTCTTTGAAAAGGTTGGAGGAAAAGCCCTGTTCCACTCCACTTTAGCCTCTTCATGCATCGCATCTGCTTCTGGTTTCCCTTTTTCTTAGAATCCTATTAGTTTCTGTGATTCTCACAGGAACTGCACTCCCAACTATCGTAGCCTGTTTTGGGGCCCAGAGTCCAACATGGCTATAGATTCAAGCCTCATGCACTATTCCGATTATATTCAGTTTTGATATTTAGAGATGTTTACCTTGTTTTTGAGTATCCTTTTTGTTTTCTTTATTGTTTTATCCATCTTTTGTGTGGAGCTAAGAAGAAGATACTTTCAAGTATAGACTAAACTGCACATGAAAACTCTAGAATTTTCTCTTTTCTCTCAGTTTTATTATTTTTCTTCCCTTCATTAAATTCTTTGAAGTCTCCCTATTGCATATAAAATGTCCACAGTCTGCAGCAACGCTTCTAAAACCTACAGCTTGTCCCAGTTTACCTTTTGCTGCCTTCTGTCAAAACGTTATGATATGGTATGATATACAGTATTAGGCTATGTGTTCTTTAAATATATCATGTAATTTCACACCTGTCTTTGTTATTCCTTCTGCCCAGATGGCTTTTTACTCTTTTCCTGGAAAGTACATACAGTTCCTTCTGGGTCTGACTCAACTCCCTCTTCCTTCTAGATAGTAATTTACTAAGATGACAGAAAACATCTTACACATCTTATCATCTCTTATGTTTTCCATAGTATGTGTCGCATAGTTAAGTGCTCAGTTATATTTTAGCATACAGCAGAGGTTAGCCAACTTTTTCTTAAAGGATCAGATAGTAAATGTTCTCTCTCCTACAACTACCTAACTCATTGTGTGAATGCAGCTGTAGACAATACGTAAGTGAGTGAATGTGGCTATTTTCTAGTAAAACTTTATTTATAAGAAGTAGATAACCGGATTTGATACATGTGCTGTATTTTGCTGACCTCCAGCATAGAGTAAGCAAAGAATATGATACATATTCAGTAATTGTTTTGGTTTTTAATTAAATTAAGAAGATATAGATTTAACAAACAGTTTGCTGTGAAATTTTTGTGATTGCTATTATGGGATGTTCCTTTTCATAAAAGTGTTAGACCTGATTTACTTTTAATAATGGCATATCCTTTTTGCCTGATAAAAATTAGTAGATTTCTATTGAATAGGCAGTTATTAATCTATCTCTGGAGATAGAAATTCCTTCTCAGATAAATCAGTTTTACTTATTAACCGTACCTAAAATTTATCCAAATAGTTTTATTCATTACAATTTAAAAATAGTCATAGGTTTGCTTCAGTAAGGCAAATCTATATTTCAGATTTTTGTTACTGTCACTTGTTCTGCTTCATTAAACCCCTTGTTATTAAGCACCTTCTAAAATGATACTTTAATGTAGCAAAGTCACATAAAATTGAAGTAGATAAATAAAAAGGTAATGGGGAAAATAAAGGTAAGGAGAGAGAAGACAAAGAGGGCATCAAAATGAAGGAGTGAAGTCCTGTACTTTTCAGAGCATGTTAGTGACGTGTTGTAAGAAAAAATATATATGAAATGTTTGGAATTTAGATGAGGTGGGGAGGTTCCAGTTGGGCAGCTCATGAAAGGCTTTGTAGAGGAAATACATTCAATCTAGTCTTTAAAGGGTGTGAGTATGAGAACAGGACTTTAAGATACTGATGGTACAGAGGCATGGACACAGCATAAGCCATGAGAACCCTTCATGAATTTCAAAGTACTCTACAAAGATAATGTTCACCATGATTGAAATGGTTAAAAGTAAATGATCCACTGGAATTGTCATTAATTTTATCAAACAAATATCAGACAATGTTTTTGTTTAATTTCTGCATCCTTTACATTAATTTTGAGTACTGTGTTTTGGCAGTGACTGTTGAAGTGAAGGGTCCCTATGAATACCTCACACTTGAAGAATATCCATTGATGATTGTAAGTGAAGTTATATTCTTTAATTTCAGCATTAAATGAGTTTAGCTTGAAAGATTATTCATATTTTTTGGCAATATATTTAGAGTTGTTCCTGAACAGTTCAGAAAGTATTGCTTTTACTTCTGTACTTACTTTTTACTATAATAAGATCTTGGGAGTGTCAGTGAACTCCTTCGTGCCTCATTTTCTTATTTGTAAAATGAAAAGGTTGATGACTTGTGGAATTTTACAGTTGGAAAGTACCTCAAAGATTGTTTCACATCTCATATCCTCTCTAGGATCCAAAACAGGGCACTTCTTACAACCCTATAATTTCTGATCCCACTTAAAGTAACTAAATGATGAGCTTCATCCTTTTCAGAGAGAAAGAGAGAGAGTGTGTGTGTGTCTCTCTATGGGAATATCTTTAGTGTATTTTCAGATTTCCTTTGTTTATGGTTTTTTTCCTTATTCCTTTTCCTTTTACAGTTTTCCCAGTTTGTCGTGTTTCATTGTCTTCAGATATGTTCTAACTCTGCCACACCCTTTTTCCTGTTCCGTGTTCTCTTTGTTTATATTCTTTTACATTATAAGTTGAAAAAGCTTATTTAATACAGATGAGCAGTCACTCTTGATGACAAGCCCTTAGTCTCCCTCTGCTCAAGAGGAGATAAGTTTTTCACTTCAGTATTAAATTCCAAAGAAATAAAATAATTATTTTTTAAATAGAATGTATGACATGTATTTTTTATAGCTTGCTAAATGAGTATTTACTGATTCTAAATTGACTCTTGGCCTTAATCCTTTTTATCTCTTATCTACTTTGATGACAGTTTTTCATGGTGATGTGTATTGTATATGTCCTCTTTGGTGTTCTGTGGCTGGCGTGGTCTGCCTGCTACTGGAGAGATCTCTTGAGAATTCAGTTTTGGATCGGTGCTGTCATCTTCTTGGGAATGCTTGAGAAAGCTGTCTTCTATGCAGAATTTCAGAACATCCGATACAAAGGAGAATCTGGTATGTAACCAAAAATGTTTGTTTGCCACTTTGTAAGTGATTAATAGGTGAGATGCATGACAATTTTCCTAAGGTCAGCAGTCATTAAGTAGGTTTAACTTTTCAATTACTCAATTACTAGAATAACTTAATCATAGTCACTGTGATTGTGACTTTTGTTTTTAATCTCATAACTTGTGGGTTCAGTGATTTAAGAGTAATTTTATTGAAATATAGTCAAAAATTAACAACAGTAGTGGCCATTTTGGGAAAGATGATTACCATCATTGAATCTCAATTGTTGTTGATATTTCATTCATTCATTCATTCATTCATTCATTCATTTATTACGATGACATTGGTTAACGAAATTCAATAAGTTTCAACTCTACATTTTAACAGTAAGGCATATATATGTTTACACTGTGTGTTCACCTTCCATAGTTAGAATTCTTTCTGTCACCACATATTTGACCCCCTTTACCGCATCTGCCACCCTCTTCCCCCTTCCCCGCTCCTCTCTGGTAACCACTAGTCTGTTGTCCATGACCATGAGTCTCTGTCCTGTTCATTTGTTGCTTTTAGGTTTATATCCCACATCATAGATCTTTAAGGCACCATTATTATATGCATCTAAGAGAGAAAGTAATACTGCTAATTTAATTGTAAGATGCCATTGATTGTAAGACGAACTTTGATTTCAAAGATGTTAAAATGGTGGGGAAAATAGAGAAATGCATTGAAGAATTGGTGAAATTCAGTAATACCAAGAAAATAGGAGAGTGCTTATGGTTTAGTAAGGTGAACAGTTAATGACACATTGTTTTGTAACTGAAGTTTTTTTCGGTAGCTTCAATTCTCATCATACCATTTAATTACTGATAATTATTGTTGCAAGATACACTAATTAGATCTTTCCCTGGTCTTTGAAAGGGCTTGAGAATAGTAGACGTGAACATGAATTGAAAATGGTGTGTATGTGTTTTGTACTTTTCTGTGTATAGCTGTGTTTCAGAGTTTTTTAAAAATGGGGAGAATATTCCCTAGATGCTATAAACTGTCCAAGGTGGGTAAAGTATTCTCCTGAGTTTTTAGTGAAGTGGGAGATGCAGAGAGAAGATAAATTGAGCACACCCAGATTGCTGTTCACGTAGGTAAGATCATAAGTGAATATCAGCTTGTATACTTGTAAAACTTGAAGAAGTATTCTTTTATGATAGACATAATACCAATGCTTATTCTAAAGTGTTAGAGATCTATATTCCTGTTCTATAATTGCACCTTTCCTAAACCTAGGTTACAGCACCCTTTCCCCCCTTTTTTCTTTCTCATAGTCCAAGGCGCCTTGATCCTTGCAGAGCTACTTTCAGCAGTTAAACGTTCACTGGCTCGAACCCTGGTCATCATAGTCAGTTTGGGATATGGCATAGTCAAGTAAGTATTAACTTCCTATATGTTAGAGCAACTTAAAACACTGAGTAAATTGAAACGGTATTGCAGGTTTGCAGTATAGTAGTTCTGAAAGAGTTCGTATAAGAAATAGTTCTGAAATAAAAGATATCTGAAGTTTTTTGTTACGTAAACATAACCTACTATATAGTGCATGTCAAAATGCTGAACTTTTAGAGTAAACCTATAGAGATTTTACTCTTCCAAAATATTTTGCATATCAAATTTTTAATGGGAAGAGCACTCTTGTTATAACAGTGTGAAAATAAGCTTTTTTTTCCCCCGCCATAGCCACAGCCAATGACATGGCTACGGCTTCTCTTCCCCCCTGAAAATATTTTTTTATTCAAAAAAATTTAATGAATGCCTTCTATAAGGCATTGTTCTAGGCCCTGAGTATACAGAAAAATAAACAGAAGACTTGGAGTTTACATTTGGAGGGGCACAGGCAAAAATAAGTGAGTAAATAATATGTCAGTGATTAAGACAGAGAGTAGAGAGACTTAGGCAGGAAGTGGAGCTTGTGATTAATAGGGTAGTCAAGGAAGTCTTTACTTAGTGACATTTAAGCAAAAATCTCAAGTTGGTAAGGGAACTATATGTACACCCAGGGGAAGAAATGGTAAGATATGGTCAGATTCTATATATATTTTGAGGGTAGAGCCAGTGGACTTTGCTGATAGATCAAATGTGCAACGTGAAAGAGAAGAGAAATCAAGGATGATGCCATCTATTTTGATGTGAGCAAATAGAAGGATGCAATTGACATTTACTGAGTTGAGGAATATCTTAGGTAGAAGAAGTTTGGAGTTGGGGGCAAGATTAGGAATCCAGTTAGCTATCCAGAGGGAAGTAAGGGCAGAAACAGATTTGGGAGTCATCAAGATATAGATGTTATTTAATGCCATGAGACTGACTATGATCACTGAGGAAGTGAATGTGTATAGAGAAGAGGTCAAAGGATTGAGCCCTTGAACATTTTCTATTATTTAGAAGTCAGTGAGATGAAGTAGAATTAGAGTAAAGGAATTGAGGAGTGAGCAGTGCTATGGGAAGCACACTTGAAAACTCTTTCAAGGAGGGAGTGATTAATTGTGTCAAAGAGGATTGAGAATTGATCATTGGATTTAACTACATGCAGGATATTAGTGACCTTAATAAGAATGGTTTTGGTGAAATGGCAGAACTTGGAGTGGGAGCTTGTTTGGAGTGAGTTCAAGCGAGAATAGTACAGGAATTAGAGCTAGCCAGGTATAGACAGTTATTTCAAGGAGTTTGTTTTAAATGGGACTAAAAAAATGTAAGGTTTTCAACTTTTAAAATTTATTCATATAAATGAGTTTTACTTTAAATGAAACTGGAGGAATGAGGGTAAATTATATTTTTAAAATTTATTCATTTAACAAATACTTGAATACCTCCTATATGCCAAGATGTATTCTGGATTTCTAAGATAGAGCAGTGTGGGGAAAAAATTCCAGCCTGTATGGAGCTTTTCTAGTGTATAACAAAAAATATAAGAACAGATTGCTAAGAGTTAGGTCAATATGATTTAAAGTAGTGCTTCTCAAACTATAAAACACTAATGAATCAACTGGGGATCTTGTTAAAATGCAGATTCTGATTCAGTTACATTTTGAACATTAGGGATCTAAGACTTCCTCCTTCAAATAAGCTGCTCAAAAGATTTTTTCATATTTTGTTGGATTTTGAGCTTAATGTACCATTTATGAGCTTCATGTACCATTAATGAGCTTCAATAAGGTATTTGATTATGTTAAGGAATTGTTAAATTTTTTAGATTTGGTAATGATATTTTGGTTATGTTTTTAAAGTTATGTTTCAAAACATTGAAACACAAAAGATATGATGTCTAGGATTTGCTTTAAGATAATATGGGAAGTGGATGGGTTGTGCATGGGTCAGGATTGGCTATTGGCTATTAGGACTAGATGATGGGTATATAGGGCTTCATTATACTATTGAATGTGTTTTAGAATTCTCTATGATAAAAAGTTTTTTTAGAAAATGCAATAACCAGGGACCTGTTCTAGAGTTCTTGTCTTCAGTGTCTTGTTTTAATACCATATGTTCTTCTGAGTTTTTTTTTTCCCTCTAGGTGAATTCACAAAGTAGATCTGGCTTATCTCTGTTAAGTTATTGGCCTGTATTAATCAACATGAGCTTGTCTCGGGGTTTGTGGCATTTGTACTCAACTATCTCTTTGCTTACTCTGTAGGCCTCGCCTTGGAGTGACTCTACACAAGGTTGTGGTAGCAGGAGCCCTTTATCTTTTGTTCTCTGGAATGGAAGGGGTCCTCAGAGTTACTGGGGTCAGTACCGCTTAAAATGAGTTTTTGTGGTCAAGTCAGATATATTGTTTTTGTTTTGAGAAAGTAAGCTTCTTTACTATTTCCTGTAAGTTGCCTTTTGGCTCTGATTTTCAAAATGTATGTATAATTCATTTTTTAAAAAAAATTTATCTATTAGAGCTTTATAGATTTAATGTGTGACTGGGAATGAATGCTTTCCCACCTGTCCCCAAATTGCTATTTATTTAGTTCCTCCTTCTGGGCAGTGGACTCCGTTATCTTACATAAGTGGCAAACATTGTAATCACACACTTGCTGGTTAATCTACTTTTTGTTTTACAGTGACAGTGCTCTTTCCTTAACCAGCACTTGAATTTCAAAGCCTTTCTTAAAATGCAGCTAATTAAGTTTTACATAATTCACGAGAATTATATAATTATGGCCTTTCAGGGAAGGAAATGAAAGCACTGAGATATATAAGTGATAAATATATGTCAGAGCTGGATTAATGTGAAGAAGAAATAGGCCTCACTATGTCATTTTAAAATTTATTTTCTTATTTAAAAAACATTCTGCAAAAACTTGTTAGATTCAAGGTGGTAAATGTTAGAAACTTGACTTTCCTCTCAAACTGGGCTCAGTAAGTTTTGCAATAAATTGCCTCTTAAACACTTTATGGATACAAATTAGGTGTTCAAATCATGCTGTCCTCTATATGTAATTTCCTTAGACTTTTAGCAACTCTAACTCTCTGTCAATTTCTTTTTCTGCTGCTGCTGTAGTATTTTGCTTACCCTTTGACTTTGATAGTAAACCTGGCCCTGTCAGCAATTGATGCCTGTATTATTTTATGGATATCCTTTTAATAATGCCCTGGTGATTAGGTAATTAAGGTTATATAAATAGCATCTTATATACATATGTAAACATGAAAACAAGCAACATAGTTTTGGGGACCATATATGCCTTCTTATTTTGAAGTGAGCTCTTTTTTTGTAAAATTACGTTACAATTCTGGAAATCAGTAATTCTTAGTGTATTAATGATGCAGTAATTTTAAATATGAGAAAGATCTTTTTAGACTTGGAGCCAAAATCAAAATGATTGGAAATGGGGGTTTATATACCACTGTAACTTTTTTGGTGGTATCTCTCTTTTTTTTTTTTCCTGAAAAGAATTAACATTTATTAAATACTTTAGTGCCAGACATTATTCAAGGTACTTTGCAGACATAAATTCATTTAATCATTTTAACAGACTATGGTAAATTGGATTATGTTTAGACTATTCACTCTCTCCCTCTTACTTTCATGCTCCAGTGATGCTGAGTTTGCTTATGTAACTTGCTTTCGCTTCGTATTGGGCTGGGCGTGCTTCCCTTCCCTTTGGCTTTGGTCTCAGTCGTGTGACAAGCTTTAGCCAATAGGGTGTTAGTAGATGTGATCAAACAAAGACTTGAACAACTTGGAAAAGCATTCTCAGGCAGCCCTCTGGTCCCAGGAAGATGGCGCTCTCAGAGAACAAAATCACACCAACTTAGATTAGCCAACGCCCAGCTGATGCCAGCAGTCTACAGATGCATGACCAGTCCTTGCCATTGGACAGCCCCAACCAGAAGCCAAAGGGCAGGGACCATGTGTATGTCACCCATCTTGATCAGCTACCAAGAGCAGAGGGAATGGTGGAGAGTAGAGCAGTCATCGTGCCAGCATAGATGGGTTATGGTTGGAGCCCTCTTTTAGGATGCAGAGGGCTAATTTCTTATAGTTCCCTCACATGATGGTTGGTATGGTCACTTCTTAACATGGATTTTAGCACACTGGAACTCTATGGTGGTCAGTAGCATGTTTCATTGTATTGAGATTTTAATTGACAGTTTGCGTGAAATGCTTACAGCTGTACTACATGATGGTTTGTCAGAAGGGAAGAATGATTTAGGTGCCAAGTGTTATTCTTTTTTATTTTATTACAGTTCAAATGCAAAACCATTCCAGATGATTATATAAATGCAGAATCATGTGCTGGTTTCTTCTGTGCCTCTCTAGACATCTCTTTTCACCACCTCTTTTTCTTTGTCTGCAGGCCCAGACTGATCTTGCTTCCTTGGCCTTTATCCCCTTGGCTTTCCTAGACACTGCCCTGTGCTGGTGGATATCCTTCTCATTGGCTTGTTTGATGGCCGTCCATTTTCTCCCTTTGGAGTTGGGTTTCCATTGATCTTTCTGCAAAGGGTTTTTACCAGTTTTGTTGATTATTCCTTAGCCAGGGGAATAGGGAGGGCTGAGGTAAGCAGTTTGTTTGTTTTTAATTTTAAAAATTGCATCAGAAGTTGGTGACTATGGGCTCTGTTTTTGTTTTTGTTTTTAATGAGTATTTTAACCTTGATTTGGGAGTTATTTATGTACTTCACCTAGTGTTAAATTCACTGGTTACTTTGCTCCCGCTTTTGTTCAACCTCCAGGAATTATTAAATCCTTTGAAAATGGTGAAAAAATTTTGATTCTTAAAATGTGATTTCAGGAACCGCATAAGATTGTTTGACTCTTAAAATTCTATGTAGGTTTAGCAGATTTTAACCCTTACAGGTTAAGTGTTTTGTACTCTCATTCAAAAGCAGACTTGGAATTGTCTGAAGACTTCCACTCTTTGACATAAATATTGACTCATTTATAGAGAGAGTCAACTAGCAGATAAACAAGTTTCTATTTGAGTAATTTTTTTCTCCTCCTTCTTAAAATTAAACATTTGTTTATTAGGGATGTGGCCTGTTAAATGAAAGATTCAAGTTTTTGGACTTTCATCCTTTTGGGGTTTTTAAAATTTGTTTTGGCTTTTATGTATTTGGTCCTACGTGTAATTGTGAAATATTATTTTCTTGATAGATGGTGACTGCTATAAAAAACTAAATGAAAACAATTATAATTTTATGAATTTGAGTAGATTGTCATATATCAAAAATGTTTGAAATTGAAGTGTCTTGGGTCCAAGTGACCAAAGCTTTTCTAGGTCAATATCTTTCAAGTGTACTTTGCAAACCTCTATGAATATTGGGAGGTGGAGAGAGAGAGGTGAGACTAGACTATACAATAAGATAACCAATGATTAGGAAGCAACTAAGTCTCTGTCCAATGGCAGACTAAATTCCAACTCACTTATTTTCATATCTGTTGGTTTTGAAAGTTGGACTTGAGAGCAGTAGTCATTACTTCCCCTTCTGTCTTTCTGTGGCAGCTTCCACTTGGGAATAATGTTCTGAAAATGGAGAATTGTTGCTTATAGAGCTTAATTGCCTGGGATTCTCAGCCAACTGTGATTGTATGGTCTTTTTAATTCAGGATGATCAGGCAGCTGATGGCAGATTCCTTAACATGGCACGAGGGAACCAAGTGTAGAACTCTGGGAGGTTTGTAGGAATGAGTGTATTTATGACCCTCGACTGGGAGGACAAGATAAGGTGATACTTCTGTTTCCTTGTCCTGTTACTCATTGTCATTTCATTTTCTTCCATTTGTCTTTCTTTTTCATCTTTGTTTCTCTAGAAAGTTCCTTCCAGTCTTCCTCTTTTTTATACTTTTCCTTTTTTTCCCTCTTTTTTGCATTCTTATTTTATCATGGTTTTCTTTTCTCTTCGGTGTCTCGTTAAAAATGAAGACTTTCTTATTAATCATGGTGAAGCTTGGGGTGTTTGTGAGATAGAGAATAAGAGAGCTGTAAGGCTTCTGGGATTCATAGCTCTATCAGCATGATCCCAGATCCTCAAAGAAACTTGAGTGTTAATTTACTAGTTTATTATTTTTTCTGAATGTTGATTTCCTTGACCTGCAAACACATATTTATTAGCCTGACTCAAACAATGAAGCTATTAAAACTTCGGAGAAACATTGTAAAACTCTCTTTGTATCGACATTTCACCAACACACTTATCTTGGCAGTGGCAGGTAAGTTGTGGACTTTCTTTCTGCTGTTAAATGCCATCCTTTTAGAACAGAGATTCTTAACCTGAGAGGCCATAGGTGGGTTCTCTAAAATTACATAGAAGGTTTTGTACATTTCACTTGGGGGAAGGGATCTTTAACTTTTGTCTAATTCTCAAAGGAATATGTGGTTCAAAAAAGATTGAGAACCACTTATTTTAAGTATAATAGGTGAAACTCAATCTCATATGATTTCAATTCTTAGTATATTCCTCTCCTGTCTCCATTCTTTTTCTGAGGCATTCTTTTCCTTTGAGGCAAGTTAGCTCAAGTGCCATATATAGCGTCTAGGTTCTTTTTAGAAGACGTTAATACTAGCCTATTTGGCTTTATTAAATACCTATGGAATTTTAGATTGCTATTAGATTGCTTTTACATGCGTCATTAAGCATGCATAAAATGCAGACAGAGGTAGACTGTAGCCAAAGTAGGCTAGTTTGCCTACCTTTTGGCCCTTGTACTATGAAAGAGAGGTCTTGCCTATGATTAGAACCAAAAACTCTGTCTTGCAGTCATTTTATCAACATTCTTTTCCATCTGATCAGCCAAAGAAAAATTAGCATTAATATCCTGAGGATAAAGAAAGGAAAAAGTTATATTATTGATAATGCTGGAAAAAGGCATTTTTCTAATACCTTATTGTCCAATTCTTAGGGTTGCTAAGTAGCCAGGTGGTAAACAGAACTATTCTTTAAGTACAGAAAGGGTTTATAATGGTGCCTATTGAGAGCTTTGCTTATAGTAGTTAAGTAAATTTGTACTGAATAAATACGTTAAATTAACTGATAAGAAATGATTGTGATATATTGGGGTTTGGGGATATGTAGGAATTGGAGAAAGTAATTGGAGATGTAAACCAACACTCATACTCTGACCAGGTTTTTCATTTCCTGTTAGCATCTATTGTGTTTATCATCTGGACAACCATGAAGTTCAGGATAGTGACTTGTCAGTCGGTGAGTTATAAACACATGCATTTATGAATAATGTACCGTTTTATACACAGACAGCGGTGTTGATGACAATGGTAAGATTCACACCTTATAAGAAATTAGGGCTAAGACTTCTCTCTGAGCGTTAGAAAGCTTCCCTCCTAAATATTCTATATTATTGTAGTTCTTGGTTTAGTAGGATTTTTTGTTTCTTTTTGTTTGAGGGTGGTGGAGACAATCTGGCTCAATATCCCAATAGCGGGAGAGAATTTTATAAGTGATAATCACAGTATGTCATAACCCAATCTTGCCTTATTCTTAAATCCAGAGTCCTAAACATTAAGTATATTGTTAATCTGAGAAGCCATGTTGTTAAGATCTGAGCACAGACCGTGGCCAGTAGTATTTCTTTGGAGGCTCTTAAGGCTCTCTTTTGGTAAAAATAAATTAATTAAAATGAAAATTAGAAAAAAATAATCTAATGTTACTTTCTCTTACTTTGTATGAAAACCCTCTAAAGATTCTCAGAGCTATAATCAAACACTGACAGGTGATGTATTCAGTTGGTGCCTTTTTTTTTTTAACAACACTAAGCACTACAAGAGAAGAAACTACATTCCTTTACTGTATCCCCGGCACTTAACACAGTGCCTAGTACATAGCAGGCTCTTAGTAAATATAAGTTAAATCAATAAGTAAGTGATTCTTGTTCTATGCCAAGAGCTTGTGAACAGAGGATTAAGATAATGTATGTAAATGTTGTATTTTTCCCTCTTGATAGGATTGGCGGGAGCTGTGGGTGGACGATGCCATCTGGCGGTTGCTGTTTTCCATGATCCTCTTTGTCATCATGGTTCTCTGGCGACCATCTGCAAACAACCAGAGGTTCTTAGACATTTCTTATTTACCCTGCTAACCATTGAATAGCCATGTCATCAGTTAGAGGTGGTTCAGTGGGTAACAGTATCAGGGCCATGTTATATAGTGGACAGAACATTCACTGGGTCTAGAATCAGGAAACTTGAGTTCCTGTCTCAGCTCTCCTATTAATCTGCATTGTAATTTTTGGCCTACTCCCTCTCTCACCTCTGAACCTCAGTTTCCTCTTCGTATAATGAAAGAGAAATTGAACCAATCGATATGAAGTCCCTTTGAATTCTGACATCTGATAATGTTAGTATTTGTATGGGGAAAATAAGGGAGGTACATAGATTGTGACACTTGTAATGAGTGTCTCACTTGTCTAGGGTCCAGAAGGAAAGAACAGTTTCTATAGTCAGTAGCCCAGTCCATTTTGTAACAATAGAGAGCATAAAATGAAAACATTTTGTGACTGACTTTGGAATTGACAGTCTCCACGTGCATTTGCTTTTTCAAACTATAGGCAGATCTCAACTATTTAGGGATTAGCTATCTTTATTTTATGACATTTCCTGCCTTTGTTTCTCTTCTTTTTCTTTCTCCCTCTTGTGTATAGACAATTAGGAGCTTATGTTATGCAACCACGCCACCGAAGAAGGAAAAAGATGAGATGATATAACTAACCAGCTAATGTTATGATCAGACATACCAGTAAAAGATTTAGAAAGAAAATAAATGACATCCTTTTACCCTATGAAAATAGTAGCCTTGTCTTTTCACACTATAAACTTAATATTTGTGTTCTTTGACAAAAGAGAAAAATAAAGTTAGGTAAGAAAGAAAATAAAGGAGATCTGAAATTATACCGTTTAGAAAACCTAAAGACCCTCCTTTTACATCAATCTATTGATCTACTCGCTTGTTAGCTATATCTATAAAGTTTTTCCCTTCAGTCTTTTAAAAAAATTTTGCTCTACCTCTCCTTTCTTTTTCTCTTTTTAATTTAAAGCATTATGACTATGGTTCCAGTGTTAACAACCTAATGTTACTCCCTGTTCAAATATGGAATCTTCTTTCACTCAACAGTACATTGTAGAAATGCCTTCCAAGACAACTGGTTTAAGTTAAACGTACCTATTTTCTTGGATGGCATAATATTACATGGTACAAATGTAGTACAGTTAAGTAACTTATTTTCTCATGGATGGGCATTTGGACTATTTCCATTTGGAATGTTTTAGGGTCCCAAGACCACCTGTTTTTAGAAGGATTCATGGGACTCAGCATCTACTTATTCTGAGAGCAAAGGTTTATTACAGTGAAATGATGAGATCAGCAAGGAGAAAAGACAAAGATGGAGTCTGGAAAAATCCATATTTTCTTTTCCTCCTCTGAGGAAGTACATTAAGAGTACTTTTCCCAACAAAAAATGCAATAGCAGTGTTTTTACCCAGGGAAGCGCATTTAGAGACTCAGCACTCAGGTATTTATTGGGGGTTGGTTACATAAGCATCCTCTACCTAATATGTATCATAATTCCAGATTCCCAGAAGGAAAGCAAATTTTATAGATTGTATAGTACAGTCTAGGCATAGTGATCCACTTTTATCAGTTAGGGAACAGGTCAAGTGCCAGGTTTTTAGACACCAGCCATTGGGCATTCTTGTAAGGAGGTCCTTCTAAAGGCTTGCTATGTTATCTCTTAATGCACAGGGGCTTTGAAAATAGGCATAAGATATAGTGATGTATTAAGTACCTGTGTACAGATATTCTTATACACTCTAACACCCTTGCCCCATTTTTCCCCATTGCACTTATTATCTGTAACTATTAACTATAACCAGACTTAGTTGATTATCTTTGAACTTTTTAATGGCGTATTTGGTCATAGAAAATCTCAAAAATATGGAGTCAAATTTGTCGTTTTTTTCCTTTGTGGATTGTATATTTTCTGTCTTGTTTAAGAAATCCTTTCCTAGCTTAAGGTGAAGTCAAAGTTATTCTATAGTTTTTTAAAAATTTTCACAGTTGAGCTTTCATTCATCAAGAAGTGTTTGATTGTAAGTTCTCTTTTCTCTTCAGTTGCTCTGATCCTGCATCAGTAGCACATTATTTTAATTATCTTAGCTTCTTGATAAGTCTTGGTATCTGGAGAGGCCAAACCATCCTCCTCCTAAACTTCATTTTTAAACAATTTTCTTTGCTGTTGGGTCTTTAATAAAAAATTTAGCTTTTTCGTTGAATTCTAGGAAAACCTTGTCACATTTTGATAGGAATTTAATTGAATTAATGGATTAATTAAGGAAATTATACATATTTTTTAATAATTCCATCCCCGAATATGGTATAGGTCTTATTTTTTTAGTTCTTTCGGAGTTTCAGTTACATTTTATAACTTTTACTTAAATGTTTTTTTTTTTTTTTTAATTTTATAGCTCTTACGGATGCATCCTTATAAATAATATATGTGACTTCTAAATATATAGGAATGCTTTTGGTTTTTGTATGTATTATATCCATCAACCCTCCTACATTACATTACCTTGTTCTGATAATTTCTAGGTTTTCTCATTAGATTGGTTATTATCTAAAATAATGACAGTGTTATTCCTTCCTTTCCAAATAATCTCGCTGCCTAATTTCTGATTTTTGTGTTGGCTAGACCAATATAATATTGAGTCAAGGCAGTGAGTTTGGGCCTTCTTATCTTATTCTGACTTTAAAATAAATGCTTCTCAAGTGTTATCATTAACTGTTATCTACTGTGAATTTTCGTTAGTTATCCTTTAACAGGTTATGGGTGTTTCCTATTATTCCTGGCTTATAAAGAATTTTTTTTTTTTAATCATGAAAAGGCGATTTAAAAACATGGTAGAATGAAAATAATAGGCAACAGTAAGTGCAGAACAAATTCAAAGCTAAAGCATTCTAGGAATTATCTATCTGGCAGCTGCTTTGCTGACTCTCTTGGAAGTTGTGAAAGAAAAGTACCTTAGATGTACCAGATTAGACCTTCATCTTCTTAGTTCCCTACTTGGAAACTGAGATTTTAAATTACATGAGAATTTACTTACCTCTATGTGATACATATGCTTGTAAGTGAACATTTATTGAATGCTTACTGTGTCAGGTATTCTAAGCACTTTTGAAATGAATTATTTACTTTCCATAGAATATCTCTATGAGTAATGTTCTGTTATCCCCCATTCACAGATGGGAAAACTAGGGCACAGAGAGAATAAGTAATTTGTCCAAAGTCACAGGTAGTATGTGGCTGAACCTGCATTCTTAAATATGACACTGTCCGGCATTTCCTTTGCTGATATAGGTAATTGAGAGCTTTTGAAAGGGAAGAATTATTTTATTATTCACTAAACTGATTTTATGAATGACTGTAATTGGCAGTTCCAGTAATTAGTCCTGTAAAATCCAGACAGTGGAGCAGATTTTGTAGTTTTCTAATTTTTTTCCATCTGTTCTACCTTTGTTCTGTCAGATTTGCATTTTCACCATTATCTGAGGAAGAGGAGGAGGATGAACAAAAGGAACCTATGCTGAAAGAAAGCTTTGGTAGTGATAAAATTCACCTTTAATTTGTACTTCAAATATCCTTTCCTGGTTTTTAGAAATAGGGTAAAGCAAATACAGTTGACCCTGAACCACATGGGGGGTTAAGGGCGCTGACTGCCTCCCCACATAGTCAAAAACCTATGTATAACTTTTGATTCCCCCCAGAACTTAACTACTAATAGTCTACTGTTGACTGGAAGGAAGCTTTACCTATAACATAAACAATTGATTAACACGTATTTTGTATGTTATATGTTTTATATGCTGTATTCTTACAATAAAGTAAGCTAGAGAAAAGACAGTGCTATTAAGAAAATCATTAAGGAAGAAAAAATACATTTACTGTGTTTATTGAAAAAAATCCACCTATAAGTGGACCTGCACAGTTCAAACACATGTTGTTCAAGGGTCAACTATATAACATTTTGAGTGTCAAAATCAGGATACTTTGATAAAAGTACATTGTTTATTATCTTAAGCTATGTTGTTCCTTAGTCTGGTCTGTGGTGAAGTTAGGGCAAAGCAAAAATAAGGTATGACTCTTAAGATGAAGCCATGGTAAATTAAGTGAGTAATTGTGTATTAAATGTCCAGTTTGCTTACTAGAGATGAGCTGAAAATTTGGCTTTCAGCTTCCCAGCATAAATGTAAAGATGGAGAAACTGTTATATAATTCAGTGTCAATAAGCTTAAAGATCTGACTCCATTTTTGTAATCATTGCTGGTCTGTTTACATAGTTAACCACTCTCTTTTTTTCTTTACAGAAGGAATGAAAATGAGAAGTACCAAACAAGAACCAAATGGAAATAGTAAAGTAAACAAAGCAGTAAGTGTGACTTATTTTTTTTCCTGTTTTCCCTTCAGCAGTTATGTATAAGCCTTAATGATTTCTTTACCTATGCTATAAGTAAGCATGCTTTATAAATCTTTTAATTTAATATTGTTACATTTACATTTTTAAAAACAGACAGTAAGTGATTCTGTCTAGGATTTAGTAATCTTTAATGAGATGATTTGGTACTATGTCCTGAAAAGATACCAGACCAATCTGATAGTTCTGTTTATTGGTTTTTATCAATGAAGTCATAGCCTCATTAATAACCTAAGGTCTTTTTTGTAGTCAAGATCAAGATTTTTTTTAGTTGGCATTTTTTTGTGTTTCTTTGTTTTAGAACTGTTCGTTCACTCTACATTAAGGACTTTAGAATTTATTTCAGTTTACAGGAGCGAAGCTTACATGAAGTAAACTCTAGGTTTAGACCACTGAGCAGAAAGCATTTAAGGATGTAGAATATCATTTTATATTTCAGTTATATAGTTTTTAAAGTTATTTGACTTTTCTGTTTAGTAGTCTCATTTGTTATGTGAATATACTGCTTCAGAGTGACAAAAGATTAAATTTAAAGATTTTGAGACCTCTGTAGATCCTTACATGAGATATATTATTTTATGTATTTTAGTAATAACTGGTACTTGTATGTTCCCAGCAGGAAGATGATTTGAAGTGGGTAGAAGAGAATGTTCCTTCTTCTGTAACAGATGTGTAAGTCTTTGAATCATTACAAGAATCCTGTTTCAAAGTTAGTATTTTATTATTTTAATGAATGCTTGTAGTTAACTTTAGAAGTAAAAAATTACTTAATAATTAAAAATGTTTAAAAGATGTTAAAAAATAATGAAAGATTGAGAATGATATACAAAGAAAAGTAATCAGAATTATTTGTTCAGATGACATTTCTGCTTAGAAAGATTTAGCTATAGATCTCTGTTGATTTAGCTAAAATCAATGGGATAATTCTTTTGGAATTTTTGAGTTCCTTTCCATGGCCATAATTTTATTAAACATTGGTCCTATTATAAAGCAGAACATGTTTTGTTTTTTTCTATACAATTCCAGTAATTTTGATTCTTATTTTTGCATTTGCTTTACACCCCTCCCAGACAGCCATTAATTAATTAAAAATCTTAACAAACAAACAAAAAAGCTTTTAATTGCAATTATTATTCCACTGTCCTTTATGAACCACTTACAGCTGTATTTTACATTATTCAATTTGGTGTTTTTCTCTCTACAGAGCACTTCCAGCCCTTCTGGATTCAGATGAGGTTAGTAATCAAATCATGTGCATAAACTGGATCTAGTGACTTAATAGGGAGTCATAAGTCCTCTTTTCAGGGAGATTTTGTTTATTTGACTCAATAAGAGTATCATTGAAAAAGGATGAGAGTAGAAATACTGATTTTGGAACTCAAATATGTAAGATTGCTTCCTTTCTTATACATGTTTCCTTTTTTTTCCCCCAAAGCTTATATGATCAGACTTTGCAATGTTTTGTTTAAATTGGGTAGCAAGTACCTTACTGTCTTGTGTTCTAGTTCCTTTGTTTAAATTGGGTAGCAAATACCATACTGTCCTGCATTCTAGTTCCTTTGTCTTTAAGAAATTCACATTTAACCCTTACCTAGGCAAAAATAATAGAAGTATTCAGAAAGGAGTATAATAGATCAAAGCTACCTACTAAGCTACCTACTAAGTTATTATTCAATGTTATGTCTTTCATTATTCTCTTCAGATACTAAGGTTTAAAATTAGTATCTCTAATGTTTATATTGCTTTTTAATCTTTTAATGTGCCTCCATACAGTTCATTTAGAAGGCTTCACAATAAAGGCTTGGGAACTAGTTCTGGACATGTTCTGAATATTAGGTTATTCTAGAGTCTCTTGATTTTAGAAGGCCTTTTGAACACACCAGAAATGGTGAAAAATACATAAAATGACCATCCTAATGATTCTCAAGTGCAGTGTTAACTATATATTCATTATTGTGCAACAGATCTCTAGAACTTTTTCATCGATGTAATTTTACTGAATATATAATATATGGATATACCATAGTCGTTTATACACTATTATATTTTTGGACACTTAATTCTTTCTAGTATTTTGTTATGAGTGTTTCAGTAGAAATGTTTGGGGGTAAATCTTTGCCTATATCTAGGAGTATTTCTTCAAGTCCTAAATCAGAGGAGGTACACATTTTTATTAAAGGTTATTCTTGAGTAAATATTTGTTTAATCATCTTCATCATCTCTAAGATATTTGTAATTCCTTTTGATTTGTGGTTTGATGTCCAAAAGCCTACAGATTTTGATTCAGTTAAATCTTGTGTAGGGCCTGGACATCTCTATGTTTCAAAATCTTCATAATGATTAGGAATATAAACATAGATATTTAATGAACATAAACAGGTATTTGTGGAAAATGCTCGTGCGCATTATTTATGTAGAAGATATTTGGAACATAGACCGTTTAAAATTAATGCACTTAGAGTAACCTTTTTTCTTTTTCTAGGAACGAATGATTACACATTTTGAAAGGTCCAAAATGGAGTAAAGAATGGGAAGGCATGCAATTGAAGATGGCTAGTATCTGGGAAGAGATCAGCTTCTGTGTCAGTCTCCATAGGATTAAAGGAGGCAGTGACATCCTGATCGGTTCCTTGATCCAAATTTGTGCATTGGAGCTGGCGAGAGGTGTCAGAACACGGAGAATATCTTATTGAAAACAAGTTCATAGGATGAGAAAAATCTTCAAGTTTCTTATTTACAACATTGATGCCCCTTTCTCTCCCACACCCTGACATGGATGTTTATGCAACTTACGTGTGTTGTTCCTGAACCTTCTATAATGTTTAAATTGTTTAATCTGTCAAACTAAAAACTTTAACATCTGAAGAACTATGACATCAACACCATAATATGTAATCTCCGGGAGCAACTGCCTGTAATTTTTATTTATTTAGGGAGTTAGTTAAAGGTGATGGGGAAAATTGTTAATGATCTTTCTGTTTCCTGGGAAGCCAAGGTTATATCTTTCAAAGGTAGTTTTAAGAAAAAAAGAATCCTCCTGACTTAAGGAGCTGTGGTTCTATCAGTGATTAAAAGAGAAGAAAAGAAAGGAACTGTTACAGTGTAATTCAGATCATTTAAAAAAGCAAAATCAAGTGCAATTTTGTTTACAAATGGTGTATATTAAAGATTTTTCTATTTCAGATGTACTTTAGAGAGAAATATTAGCTTAACTCTTTTGACATCTGCTATTGTGACAGATCCCATTGCTGGCAATGTGGTGCACACTCCAGAACTTTTAACTACTGTTTTGTAAGCCTCCAAGGCAGCAATGCTTTGTTTGCGTTCATGCCATTCACTGGGTGTTGCACTAGATGCAGAGAGGCACTCCAGCTAAGTGCTTATGAGTGAGCACCCTGCGGACTGTAATCCTTCAGAAGCAGGAGCTAATAGAAAGGAAACAGGTCCTTCTCGCTTAATTTAAACAGTTTTTCCTGCATGAAGTGGTGTGGAGGCCCTGGACTGCTGCTTATTCTTTAGGATTGAATATTCTTGTATCTGGTGTTGGTTTAGAGACTTTATAAGACATCACAACGTGATGGGATTCATTTGAAGCACTATATTTCTGTTTTAATGGTTTTGTCCACTTTTGCCTTCCCAAGAGTTTTGTTCTACATAGAAAGTTCATGCCATTTTTTAATATAAAAAAAATGTTAACAAAATTATTATGTGGTTTGGTTTTTTTTTAGATTTTCTCTAAAGCTCCTTCTTTTTCCTAAACTCTCTCATGGGAATTTTTCCTTCCATGGTTTTTATTCTGTATCTTCTTATCTGTTGAAACCAGTGACCACATGACCACAGTCTTCACTAACTCTTACTATAGTGAAAGTGTTTACATTTATGTAACATTTCTCTACAGCTGTTTGCTGTGATTTTTTAAAAAATCACCTAGGCAATATCTCTAAGGAACCATATGAGGAACTGACTGTATTCTCAGGTTAACCTTTTGCTAAAGGCTGTTGCAGCTGTTGCAACTGTTGTAGGCTTCTGTTTTTCCATGTTAAAACTTCGAATGATAGTCATAATGCTTCAGAATAGCTGGTCAAATATTTTTTGAGGCTGGTTAGATGTTGACTTGAGACTAGGGGAAAAAAACAATTATTGCATTGGGCAGGAGTGTACAGTACACATTCCGTAACCTGGGATCTGATAATTCTGCTTTTTCTTATGTCTTCTTATGTTATGATTGGGGTATAGTGTTATCATTTTTTAGAACAGATTCAGAAGGAATTTGTAGTATTACATTGACTTGTTACCTTATAGTTTTGTCTATTTTAGTCTTGGTCCTTGAGCCTGCAACTACAAGGTATTATTAGGCCTTCTTCCAGCACAGCAGCTGGCAATTCAAAATTTTCAAGGTGTCCAGTTTCTGTGGTAAAAATCAGATATAACACAAGATTTGTTTAGCTATTTTGTGTTTTTTACTACTTGAAAATATTTCACTTATCATAAACAGCATTTGGTAAAGATGGGATAATATTCCTAATTTACAGATGACATTGTATAAAAACAAAATGACCAGGGCCAGTCTTTTTACTTCATATCATAGGCTCACCCCCCCCTTTTTTTTTTTTTTACATTTTTACTTTAAACCAAAATGTTTAATTTTGTGACATTTCTTGGAATTGCCAAATTCAGGTCATTCTTGCCGTGTTTCTCAAACTTTAAAGTGCATGGCTTCACCTTGGGGACTTATTAAAAACAGACTGCTGGACGCCCCCCTACCCCACCCACCCCTCTTCAGAATTTCTGGTTCAGTAGGGCTAGCATGAGGCCTGAGACTATTTCTAACAAGTTCCCAGGTGATGCTGATGCTACTGGTCTAGGAACCGACCCCTCACCCCAACCACTGGCGTGGAACAACTTTTAAAATACAAGGGTAAGGCTGGGATGATGATGGTAATACTAAAACTACCATTTATTGAGTGTTCAGTGTGTCAGGTATTGCTAAGCTCTCACGACGCTAGGTAGGTACATAAATAACTGCCATCATTTTGCAGATAAGGAAATCTAAAGCCTCTGGAGATGAAATTTCTTAAACGTCACAGCTCATTTCCAAAATGACAGATCTCCATCCAAGGTCTGACGCCAGAGCCCGAATTCTTTGACCATCACGCTACACTGCCTAAGACAGTTCTAAGATTTAGATATTTTCTTCTTGTTAAACTCATGGCTACTAAGACTCCACGAAGGAGAAACTCAGGGTCTAGAGTGAAACGGGAGTCCCAAGCCTACGTGCATTCCTTGCAGGTGCATTAGGAGCCGAGGCGGAAGGGGTGGGACTTCGGTTGCGGAAGGGGCTGGTTTAGACCAGCAGGAAGTCCGGTGTCCACGATGGCTCTGTTGCCGAAGATCCTGTAGTTGCGGTCCTTAGCTAGACCCTGGTGGGCCACTCCCTTAGTCTAGTTCTGGCCCCGGGCCTGGCCAGCACGCTTAGGGGGAGACTGAAGCGGCGACTCTGCCCGCCGCCATGCACGACGCCTTCGAGCCGGTGCCGATCTTAGAAAAGCTGCCTTTGCAGATCGACTGTCTGGCCGCCTGGGGTGAGCCCAAAGACCGAGGGGCCCTGGCAGGGGCAGCGCGGGAGCGGCCCAGACCTCCCAAGAGTCTGGGGAAGTGGACGGGAGTTTGGCTGTGTGGGTTCCTGTCTGATGCTGTCCTAGAGGGGGCTGGGATGAAGGAGTGCGGAGCATTGTAGATACTGAGGGCGGTGGGGCTGTTTGGGCGATCCCCAAGGACTCAGGCATTGTAGGGACGTTTCACCTGCCCTTGCTCTTGGTGCAGAGTTGGAGGTTGAGCTTTCCTTACTAATCGTGCTCGGCTTTGGCTCATTACGATTCCTAAGAAGTCTTTAGTTTGGAGGCACAAGCAGTGGGAAGTTTTCATCCTGCCAGGGACTTGAACTTACCTAGATGATTGTGTTGTACTGTTTTTTGGAGGGGAGGAGTAGGCTAGGGGAGATAGAACAAGTTAACACCATATGCCTTTTTTCCGTTCCTAATCTAATCCATTCATCGTTTACTTCTCATTATTGTAGGTAATTTAACGTTGTTACTCTGAACTCTTATCTAGCCAAATGGTTGATTGCCTTGTATTCAAAGTGCCCAAGTTACCTAACTGTGTAGGTAGAAGAGCATCATTCCAGACTGAATGAAATCTAACCAATAAAAACTTTCATAATCGTGGCCAGTGCAGAAAGCAGAGTCAGGCATCCCTTATCTCTTGTATACTCTGGAAGACAGAAGGTTTCAGGGGTCTAAACCTTGACTCTTAACTATGAACATTACGTTGCCATTTATGAGTGATTGTGCCTAATGTTTGTGCCAAAGACCAAACATATAATTCCAGTCTTTCGTGTTAATGTTCAGGCACTGAAAATCAAGGGCCATGAAAAGGTAGCTCAGAATCCTTAATCAGATCTTATAATGATCTAAGTACCCATGATAGACCTGGTGGATTCTTGGTGGTAGCAGGCACTTTATGCATCATCTGTGCACAGTTCCACCCAGTCAGCCTTGCAGAGTTCTTCACAGCCTCTGCAGTAGGGTGCTTTCACTACAAATCTTTATGTTAATGTGCACCCTTCCTGCCTTTAGCAGCCCTGGCCTCTTTAAAATCACACCTCCAAAGTAAGCTGACCTAGTCCTTTGGGTTAAGGGGAGAATCCTGCTTCCTCCAGATTATCTCAAGAATGCCTCCTTTTTCTGTCATTAAATGCTCTGAGAAAGAATTAAAAATAGAGAAAAAATATAATACATATACATATCAAATACATATTTGATATTTCCTCATCAAATATGTATTAAGTGCCTACATGGACCAGTCTCTGCTAAGGACAGGAATACTAGGATAAATAAGACACAGTGCCTTTGCTTCTGGGACACACGCTGGGGGACAAAGACATAAACAGATTTTGATACAAAATAAGTAATACTAGAGGCATATGCCACCTATTAGGGAAGCTTGGAGGAGGGTTACTCAACTCTGCCTTGGACATAAGCTTCTGAAAAGGATGGATTCAGTTGCTTATCACACTTTACTTGTCACATGCTTGACTCATACCCTATGGGACTAGGAGTACACATATCTCAGCCTCGCACATCAATTCCACTTTGGCACAGTAGATTCCCTGTACCTGTGCTTTTCAGGAAGACAGTTTTGAAATGGTAGATAGCATTTGGCCTGCCTTGATTTCTCACCAGACAAGAAAAGTGCCTGTTGCGTCCTAGGATGCTGTGGTAGGTACAAGAGGCCATTTACCGCCTCCTGCCTCAAAACTATTTTCAGACTTTATCAGCAGTAAACATTGCTCTTTCTAGTCATTACCCATTTCACCTGAAGATTATTCAAGAACCTCCAGGAGCCAGATCATGCAAGGCCAGACAATATTTGAGCTGGAAGATGTCTTTGAGACATCTATCTCTCGGGAAATGGAAATGAAGAAGATACTGATGCTGATGACTTCTCCCTAAACTCCAGCATTGTAGAATCCAGCTGTCTTTTCAGCATCTTCATTTGGATGTCTAGTAGCATGGCCAGAACAGTTCTTGATGATTACACTCTCCCAAAACATGCCTGTTCCCCCGTGTCCCACATCTCAGCAAATGGCATTTCTTTTTACCCATCTGGCTAAGGCCAAAAACCTTGGAATCATTCTTGACTTCTCTTTTTCTCTTATACACTACATCAAGTCCATCAGTAAATTTGTCTGCTCCACCTCCAGAATAAATCTAGAATCTAGTCATTTCTTTCCATCTCTACTTTTTCTACTCTTGATGAGGGCATCATCCTCTGTCATCTGAATTACTGTAATAGTCTTCTGACTGATCACCCAGTGTTTGCCATTGTACCATTTTCAGTTTTTTATCCACATAGAGGTAGAGTGATCCTTTGAAAACATAATCTAATCAAATATCGTCTGCTCAAACTGTTCAGTGTGTTTCCATCACAACTAGAATTAAGTTCCAAAGCCCCTACCATGGTGGCTACACCTGACATGATCAGGCCTCTGGTTACTTCCTTGACTTTATCACGCATGCTGTTACCCCTTGTGTCTTTCTGGTAATAGTCTTAGTCATACAGTCTTCCTTGTTCCATGAACACACAAAGCATGTATGCACCTCAGGACCTTTGCACTCGCTGTTTCTGCTTCCTGGCACTGTCTTGCTCTAGATATTTCATGGCTCATTCCTCATTTCATTCAGATCTCTGCTGAAATGTCACATAAATCAGCAAGACCTTCCCTAATTACCTATATAAAAGAGAATGCCACTTCCACCAATGTGCTAGTTCTTACTTAAGACTTATTTTTCTTTTTATCATGGATTGCAACTTAATGCTATTTTATATATCATTGTCTTTCTTACTCCATATTAGAATATAAATTCCTTCAGAGTAGGAACTTTGTTTTATATATTCTTTATTTGCTGAGCCTAGAACAGTTCTTGACTCCTAATAGGTATTCATTACATAGGTATTTAATTAATAAATAATGATATTAATAGTAATAACTTTCATTTATTGCAGACTAATCATATTGAGCCTTTATAAAATAATAACTCCATCTCGCAGAGGAAGAACCTCAGAATTTAAGTAATTTTTCCAGGGTCACATATCTAGTAAACCATGCCTGATTCTAGAGCCTGGTTCCCAAACTTTAATGTATATTCAGAGCCTGTAAAAAAATGCAGATTTGTGTGTGTGTGTGTGTATCTGTATATGCATATACACAATTATATTTGTTTATATTATCCAGAGAAACAATAGAGAAATAAATCAAAAATTACTAAAATGGTTACATATAGCAGAAGGGAGAGAACAGGGTGGAGTAGACAAAGATGGAAGCTAGACTTCTCAATTTTAGCTTTGGAACTACATAAATGTCTCACGTAATGAAAAATTTAAATTAAAGAATGCAGATTTCTGGGCAACACTGCAGAATCATTGATTCAGAATCTCTGGGAGCAGGGCTCAGGAACGTGCATTTTAAATAAGTCCCAGTGATTCTGATATGGCTAATCAGGAGCTTTTGCTTTGAGAAACACTACTCTTTGTCCTGTGACCCAAAGAAGGGAAGTGACCACCAGTTTATTTCCTGCAGTGGCCAGGATTGGGCCAGAAATGGAATTGTTAATCACATGAGATTGGACGGAGTTGCACTGTTGGGCAGAACTTCAGTAGGGCAGTTACGAGCAAGAGGACTCACTCACTTCCCAGGAGGGATCGAGTCTAGCCTTGTGGCTCAGGATAGGCCTTCAAGAATTTTCTAGGGCTGGCTCTCATTTGTTTATGTCTGTGTGAGACTTCTTTGTGTAGTGTGTTTCACTTTCTGATATGCAGTATTGAGTCTCAGAAGGGGCTGTCTACCCAATGCTGTGCCTGCTCTACACAGCCATGCATGTAAAACACAGAATGAGAAGCCTGTAGAGCAGGCTCTAGAGCAGGCTTCTCATTCTGTGTTTTGCATGCATGGCTGTGTTATCTGGTGACATGTCATAAAATAGGAGGCCCAACATGGGTTAGGTCCTCTGCTGGCCACCTGAGCCCCCACTGAATTCTTTAACTACATTGTGCCTCTTCAGGGTTCAGTGTTTTTACTTGGATGATACACTGTTTTTCCTTACAAGCTTGAGTATTAGGAATGAGTTTGTGTGTGGTGCTTTTACTGTTTAAAGGACAGTTGTCAAAAAACTTTGCATATATGATAAATGCATTTTCCCTTAGTACCTCCAAATGAAAGCATGAAAAGGGTCAAATAAGATTTCAATTAAAATTTTAAAAATAAATGTGAACTTACTTGATTCCATTTTATGTCCAGTAGATTAGACATTTGATAAAGAACATATTTTGGCAAATAAACATTTCAATAAAAATGGAAAATGGCCTCTCAGATATCATGCTTATGAGTTTGACTTCATCTTTTGGTAGTGCAGCTTCTTGAGGACTTAAGCCTCAGTGTGACAGCATTGGAGATCTGTAAGTTAACTGATGGCAGACGTGGAAGGACATGTAGCGTGAGACCAGTTGAGGCCATCACAGGGGGTCCTGGAGAGGGCTTTTGGGAGGTATGTTGTAGAGGTAAAATTGATAGAACTTACAGACCTGGGTGGAAGATGAGGCTGTTAAAAGAGATAAAGAAAAACAGGAACTGGCAGGGGTTTGGGGGGCACAGTTGAGATGGAAGGATAGGGAGGATAGTGAACATTATATTGGCTTTTTGGTTATAGGTTTTTATGTATGCTATAAGCGAATCTAAAAAATTTTTTCACTTCATTTTATTTATACCTGAAATATCGGCGAGTACCCTAAAAAATCAATTCAAATATCGCCAATTGCTCAATACAGTGATATCTATAACTAGAGTTCTAAATAATATCTTTTACAAAGCAAGTGTTGTGAATTGAATTCTTTTTTTCCCTCATGTTCTACTCCAACATAAATCTCCATTGTTCTATTAGAGCTTCTACTTACATCATTATAGCATATAATGTTTTACTTTCTGTGTTTGCTTTAAAATGCAAAATAAAAGAAGATAGAATCACTATCTTTTTCCTGAAGACTGATGTCCAAAAGACATCAACCTGGAGAATGTTCCTGAGGTGGCTTCTGACTTGTTTTCATAAATATAACTGCTGCCTTCCAGACAACCTCTGTCCAACATCCATTCGTTTGATATAGAATACCCTGCTGCCTTCCAGACAACCTCTGTCCAACATCCATTCGTTTGATTTAGAATACCTTAATAAGTGCATCACAGCATGTGGTTAGGTCCTGAGCCTTCTACAGACATCTTACTACATGTGTGACTCTGGACAAGTTACTTATCCCAAAGGCCTTAACTTCCACATTTATTAAATGGAGATTTATAAAAAGGTCTTATTTCAAAGGATAGTTGTGAGGATTAGTGAAGTAACATATGATATGTGCTGAGCATTTCCTTGCAGATGCTCAATAGGGTTTATCTGTTTGTATTGTTATCCAGTATTTTATTTTACAAAGGATCAAGAGGGTTTATGAAAGGAATGACTGTCAGGGTAATTATTTAAACCATTTTGAAACCTCTTTACTTTTAGTGTAGACCAGTGTCTCTCAAAATGTGGTCCTTGAACCAACAGCATCAGCATCCCCTGGGAACCTGTTAGAAATGCAAGTTCCCAGGCCCACTTCCAGACCTAATGAATCGGAAGCTGAGATAGGGCCCTGCGATCTACTTTAAGAAACCCTCAGATAATTCCGATACAAACCAAAGTTTAAGAACCATGGGCCTAGACCAACTTTTTTTTCTTTTTAAATAAGAGCTTTATTGACATATAATTTGTATATTATACATTTCACCCATTTAAAATGTACAGGTCAGTGGTTTTTAGTACATTCACAGAATAGTAGTGCAAGTATTGCCACAGTCAACTTTAGAACATTTTATCACCCTAAAAAGAAACCCATTAGTATTCACTCCCCATTTCTTCCTAAGCCCACTAAGCCCTAGGCAACCACTAATCTTTCTGTCCCTATAGATTTGCCTGTTCTGGACATTTCATATAAATAGAATCATACAATATGTAGCCTTTTTTTGTCTGGCTTCTTTCATTTAGCATAATGTCAGGTTCATCCCTGTTTTTACATGTATCAGCAGTTGTTCCTTTTAATAGCTGACTGATATTCCTTTGTCTGGATATGCCACATTTTGTTTATCCATTCATCAGTTGATGGATGTTTGGGTTGTTTCTACCTTTTGGCTGTTACCAATGATGCTACTATGAACATTTGTATATAAGTTTTTATGTGGACATATGTTTTCATTTCTCGTGTAAATGTCCAGGGGTGGAATTGTTAGGTCATATGGTAATTCTACATTTAATCTTTTGAGGGATTGCCAGACTGTTTTCTAAAGTTGACAGCATCCTACCAACAATGTTTGAGGGTTCCAATTTCTTTACATCTTCATCAGCACTTATTACCATCTGCTAGACTATCTTTTGAGATCATGAATTCTTTAAGTTTAACATACTATGGCACTTCTTATTTTCCCTCAAGTAAAATCATTAAATCTTCAAAGGATGCCTTTTAGTTATTCGTGAGATTAGGTACCTAGTTTCATGTTTATACTATCTTTTATGATTTTATAAACTTCCATCATACTTTGGTCAGTTTCATTTTGGAACAGTGAAGCCAGAGACATTTTTTATCCTCTAAAATGTTTAGCCTAGTAATTATTGAATAAATACATTTAATTTTCAAATGTTTCTTGGCTATAAACATTCTTTAGCTTTGTGAAATGCCTGCTATCAAAAGCAGCTCATTTTCTTGACTCTTTGATTCTGATTCCACCCCCAGATAAAGAAATAGAGTCTTTTAAAGCTGGCTGTCCTTTTTCATAGCTCTTTTCTTTTCCAGAGGAATGGCTTCTTGTTGGAACCAAACAAGGACATCTTCTTCTGTATAGGATTCGGAAGGATGTTGGTAAGTGGCAATTTTTCAGAATTGAGAAAGACATGGTTTATAACCCACACACACACGCACACACAAAAAGTTTTGATAGTTGGCTAGTATACAACTATGAAATCAGTGATTCCTGGACCATTCAAAGAATGATTAGGGTTGGGAGTAGTGCAGTTGGAAGAAGCATGAAGGAATCTCCAGGATTTTTTTCCAAACTATATTTCCCTGCTCCCATCTGGGAGGCGGAAGGGGAGGTGGAGCTGGATGTTTCTTCTCTCTTCATTTTTTGGAAACCCACTGCCAAAAATTAGAAATATTACTGGTGGGAATTAAGATTTTTCTGTAAACGATGTGGTAGTGGGAAAAAAAATTAGGAACCATTCACTTAAAAGACCTTATTAACTAGGTAGACTAGGTGAATGAAGACCTGGGTTTGAGTCCAGCTTTACTTCTCTTTGGCCACTTGACTGTGAGTAGGTCCTTTCCAACATCATTTTTATCTTCCATTAACTCTTTTTCTCACAAATTTGTTGAGGTTGGATGCAATAAAATGCTCGAAAGAACTTTAAAAACTAAAGATCTAATCAAATGTGACTTTGTCACTAAAAATGTAGAATAATAACTAAAAGTATGTGAAATTTATTCTGTTAAGATATTCTCTTTTGTGGAAAAAAGTACTTTACTCCCTTTTCCTAATTTTATTTCTGTGCTGTCTTTATGGAAAATTGGTATGTTTGGATATTATGCCCTGGAGACACGGAGTCTATAGAAATAATCTGCTGCTAATGCCTGAGTAGGTTGACTCATATGAAATTGTCATTATTTGACCATATTAGGAAAAAAACAAAATTTCATAGCTTTCAACCTAATAAATAACTTTCTTTAGTGAACAAGTTAAAGAAGAGAGGAGATAGAGCCTTCTCTTTAGATCCTGGAGCAAAAGGTAACTGGAGGAGAAGAACATCTAAATAGGGTAGGGAAGGAAAAATATTATTTTTCCCTCTACTCATTTTAGGTTCATTGGCTGAGGACCTGTGAATTAGACTGACAAAAGACATATTAAGAAGAGAAAAACAAACAGGTTTATTAACTTGTGCATCCTACATACGCACGAGAGCACTCAGTGGTGAATAACTCAAAGGGTGATTTGAACTTGGGCTTACATTTTAACAACAGAACAGTACATTTTTAGCGAAGTGACGAGACAAAAAGGACTTTGAATTTCTAGAGTGGCAAATTGTGGGAAAGCAAATATATAGGGGAACTAATTGGAGATAAGTTTGTTATATAGGTTCTTCTGATGCCATCTCTGGGCTGATAAGGGTCTTGAGTTGTCTCTGGTGATTAAATTCTGTCCTTCCTTATAGAGAGGGGAAGAGGCAGCTTTGTAAATTTATGTCCTGCTTTTAGGCAAATAGGGGGAGAGCAGAGAGGGCTTTTCTTGTATCTGCTTCTTCTCAGTTATCTTCAGCTCAAGATAATTCTTATGCCAAAGTAGCCAATTCTGGGGT